TAAAACAGTAAATAACAAGTAACACTAGTGACGAAGTCACTGTCATAAAGCATTCATCTAGTTTTAAATTAAAAAATTTGTTGTTCGTATTTTTTTAATGACACAAGGCAAAAAAGAAAAATCAATATATTTATACAAACAATACAAACAAACAAACCCGGAATTGTACCTGGCTGGGTAAATCAATTCATGTTATAAATTATGACCAATTTTTCTCTCAATTGAGAAAAAAATATGAAAAAGAAAAATCAATACAAAATTTCTGTTTTCGCTCATTTTAACCAAAACAAGAGCAAGTTGGATCATCAAGAATCACGGGAAAGCAATTTCGTTTTTTTATGCAATTCACTACGGTCATAACTTTATAGTTGATCTCTTGATAAGAGAACATGTGGTTTTGTCTAGATACCTTGTGCAATGATTATTATTACAATTCGGAAAAAGCGACGATAGTTAAAAATACAAAATTACATCAACTTAAACAATAGCAATGATAATAATGACATGGATCAAGGAATATCTAAAGCCTTTCGAAGATATTATAGAAATCCTTGTGCCTCAAATATTCCAGTAGTGGTATTTGTAGCTTTGTTAAAAGAAGCCAAATTACAATATGGTGAAAGTCTTCCCTTAAAAGGGAATGATATTGAAACGTTTCATTTTTTGACTGGAGAACCATTAGCCATAGACTTGGCTCCAAAAAGGTTGAAGGAAAACCTGAAAAAATAAAGGATCTTATATTAAATAAAAAGTTCATATCTTTCTCCCAAGACCAATGATCACATTGGAAGACTCAATTGATTACCAAATAGAAATGCAAATACTTAATTATAAGGAGTATCCAGGATTGAAAACAATAAGCAATTGAACATAATTGCAAGAGCAATATTAATTTATCCTGATAGTAAAATTCTGGAAACAAATTGGTTACCATGACATATGGGACATGTCACAGCAAAAACCACCTCTGAGACTTGTAGATCATTTTGCGGTATCACCTTATTCAACTACGTTACACACTATTTAAACATATAAAAAAGAAATTCTTTGTCACCCAGTTCTCTTTTTTTTATTATGTAAATAGGGTTTAATATTTTCACCAATTATAATACTTATGTTATAGTTTATTATTATGCAAAAAAATCAATTTTGGTTAGAAAGTCCCAGAGGTGGTTTTTGCTGTGACATGTCCCATATGTAAAGATGTCAATAATTTGGTGTTACAGGGTTCTTTGTTAATTTTATTTTACAAAAATGAAGTTTATGATTATCAACTGGACTTTGTCAAACATATACAACAATTAGTAAAAGTTGGGTTCAAATTAGAGAGTTTTGCAACTGTGCGAAAGTCAAAAGTTTTGCCATAAGTCAAAACTAGTTGGGGTAGAAATATTTTATGACGATCCATCTATATATAAAATCAGAGAAAAATACGGAGGAAATTTATATAAAAATCTACAAATGTCAGTTACACGGTAACAACCAAACCCTTTACTAATCTTGAACTAATGACTTAAAATTTATTGTATGAAAAATTAATACCAGGATTTGCTTTAAAAAGTAAACAAAAATTTGGGAAAAAAGTGGTGGTAAAAGGCTCGATTTAAACATAATTGAAAAATCCCTTCTCTCCAACAAATCAAATAATGGATATTTAGATTTAATCAAAATCATAAAAAACAAGCAGTTAAGAATGCTAATATGGATAATTAATGTAAAAAAAATAATATTAATATTTAATTCCACATGTATAATGTTTTTAACAATAAATTTAATTGATAATCCATGATTTTTGAATTCATTAAACCTTTACCTCTAAGAATATTTATTATAGAGTCCACTCACACTCTCTAATAATAACGGATCCTCTGTAACATACTAAGATTTTATATCAATATTGATATTAATATTAAGCCCGACCTATATGTCCAATATTAATATATATTAATTAATTATTATTGTTGATAACGGACTATCTATAATAAACATTTTTTTCCTAGTTATATTAATACTAATACTAATACTAAGTCAAATGGTCTATTATATATAGAGTGAACTGTATATAGAAAAAAAAAGAATTTTTTATTATTGTAAATGCAATTAAGATTCAATAATAATAAAACTATTGCTATTATTTTCTCTTGGTAAAAACGAACGTTACATATAAAAAACAAATTTTCTATATAAAAATTCCAACAATCCACGAGTGCTAAAGAGTAAATTTTTTTCTTTGCTTAAGTAAAGGAACAAAAGTATATATAGTACAATTTTTCATGCAAAGGTACATTGGTCATTTTTGTGTCAATTTTCCTCCGCTGATCACTATGTAATAGTAAGACTCCGATTTATTCGCGGATCGTCAATTAATAATGCATCAAAGTCCTCACTTTAGCAAGTAAAAATAAAACAGTTGGAAAGTCAAGATTCAAAGAACGATTATAATCACATGATATTAATGTTAAAATATAATTTCGTAGTGGCAAAATTGATGCGAGTAAATAACAAGGAATTTCTTAACAAACTGGCAAATTTGATCATTTAAAGAATAGTAAAATCTGATTTTTTATTTTTGCTAATGAATTTATTTATTTGATAATAAAAATTAAATAAAAATAATTAATAAACTAATTTATTAATTAAAAAAACATTCTATAACCACCCTTGCGCCCACCCTCTGGTTTTTTTTCGAATCGTAACTTGAGATTTGTAATAAATTTCAGTTTCTTTTCCTTTTGATAATATACAAGGAAAATAACACAATTCTACTCCAAAATTATTTATATTGTTGGTCTCCCATGTTCCTTCCATGAAATTGGTATCGACAGCATCCCCCGGTTTATACCATTCAATATTTACTACAGGCTCCTGAATTTTCAAACGAAACCACAGTTTAATACCAGTACGGACCAGTTCATCAGCATTCTTGTAGATATTCTTTTTTCTGTCTTCATCTAGAATTTCACGATATTTGTTCATTTCATTCATAATATCATCTCTGATTGAATTAATAAATTTATCATTAGAATTGTTGAATCCACGCAATGCAAGTGCCTCATATATTTGTTGTCGAATTTTGATAGGAGTCATCTTGGTAACATGATCATCCCCATCTTTTGTTTGAGATAGGTCGGTGGTCCATTTAATCATAGAATTAGTATAATCCATAATTGCTGCTTCCAAATAATTGAAATTTCCGTTTTTGTCTCTGTCTGTTATTTTTTCTATCGCAGAAAGTATTATATCAATTACTATACTTTGAAGGATGAATCCCAAAACATCCTTAAAAGTATCTTCATTTTTTTTAAACCTATATTTTAATAATAAATCATTTGCTGCTTGCTCTTTGATTTTTATGTGTCTTCCTTTGACTTTAATAAAATTCTCTACTAATTTTTTAAATTTAGTGATATCACTTTTTAATTGAAGAGAATTATTTGGGGATTCATCACTCAATCGAACATTAGTAGCATCCCCGAGTGCAGCTTCTAAATTTAAAGCTTTTTTCTCAGTATTCGTTAATTGATTTTTAATATTTTCTAATTCTTTTTTATAAAAGTTGTTTTCTTTGAATAAACGGTCACATTCAAAATCAAGTGATTTTAAATTTTGCGTATTTTCTAAAATTTGAGCATTTGTTTTCTTGTTTTTTTCTAAATTTTGGGCATTTATTTGCGTATTGGTTAAAATAAGGGTATTTATTTTCTTATTTTCTTTCACACTTTCTAAAATCTGAGCATTTGATTGCGTATTTTTGTCATTTATTTTCATATTTTCTTTCATATCTTCTAAAATCCGAGTATTTATTTCCATATTTTCTAAAAGTTGTTGATTTATTCGCTTAAGCTCACGTTCAAATTGTTTATTCATTTTTCCAACTTTTTTCTGTAAAGTTCCTTCACCTTCATCATCGTGACTTGATCCTTGATCGGAATTTGAACGTCCAGCATTGTTATTTGCCAATAATTCGTTGTATTTGTCATTTATTTCATTTTTTTCATTCATTACTTGTCTGTAATAAGGATTTCTAGTATAGTGATAGCCCTCAGAGTCTATTTGATCTAAGTGAGGTTTCGAAATGGCTCTGATATAAGCAACCCTTGCTTGAATATTTTGATGTGCCATTGTTCTTAAAACTGTTCGCTGGGAGTCTGTCATTTGTATTAAATAAGGCAACAAACTATTAGGAAGCTTTTCTTGATGCAGGATTTCATTTACAAGCGATTGTTTTAAACCTTCATCATTTGGTGTTAATATACAGCTACGACATTTTCTAATTATTTTTAAAAATTCATTAGGACTTTTTTGTACGTTATCAAATATTTCTTCTGTCTCGCCTTCCAGATCTTTTAAACTCTCTTCTAAGATATGACGAGATTTCTCTGAACTATCTTTTAGTTCAATAAGAACTAAAAGAATCAAATGATGCAAACTACTTGAAGTTTTGAACCATTCAAAAACTTCCCAATGGTCAGTCCAATTATATTCTTGGCCCATAATTTACTCTTATAATTAGAATTTGATGGTTATTAATGATAAGGAAAATATATGATATTTTTCTTTTTAAAATTTATTTGCGTAAATTTGTAAATTTACTGAAAATTTACTCACACAATCATTTACAATCTTCTTTTATTTATTATAGTTTGTATTTTTTTTATTTAAATGGATTGACTAAATCAAGAATTATTAATTTTTTTTAGGCCAAAAATGGATTTGCTTAATACTTAAGCGAATCCATTTATTATTATTATTATGTTTTTTTAAATGATTGATAAGCTAAAATAGGATTGAATGGTAGATAATTAATCGAATTGACCATTTATTATTATTAATGAATAAGCCAAAAATAGGATTGAATGGTAGATACTAAAAGAATTGACCGTTTATTATTATTATTATTGTGGATTTTTTTAAATGGATAAGCCAAAATAGGATTGAATGGTAGCTACTTAAATGAATTGACCATTTATTATTATTACAGATTTTTTTAAATGATTGATAAGCCAAAATGTGATTGAATGGTAATAGTAACAACTTTAAACGGATTGACCATTTAAATTTAAAATTGAACAACCATTTCCGTTTTTGAATTAATTGATATTAATAAAGGTGGTTTATTAGACTTTATAAATTATTCTTGTATTTTTTATTTTTTTTTTAGATCAAAGAAAAAAAAAGAAAATTTATACAAAGATGAGCCATCCTGTAGTAGTTGCTATTGGTATTTAATCAAAAGATGAATGTATGAAATTAATTTTGTTTTATCTAAAAAACTTATTCTTTGTAAATTTTAGATTTTGGAACGACTTATTCCGGTTAGTAAATTAGCAAACATGAATTTAGGTTTAGCAGCAATAAAATAAAATCGTGGACTATAATTTAATTCTTAATTTTTCAGGTTTCGCTTATGCTCACATTGCCAGACCAGCAGACATTACTAGTCATGATTCATGGTAAACATATAATAACAAAAATTACTACTAATAACTAACAAAGCAGTATTTAAATATACATAAATATATTATTTTTGTACTTTTTGACAGGCCAGGTCAAAATAAGACACGATTCAAAGCTCCAAAAAATAATACAGTTTTACAATACGATAATTCATACGATAAAGTCATAGCATGGGGTTATCAAGCGTTGGCACGAGAACCTAGGAGAAGAAGAAATAATGCACCAGAATCCGTATCAAAACCTGTAGAATATTTTAAATTACTTCTTAAATATGACTCAAAAAGATCAGATAAAATACGTATGCCTGCCGGATTAGATTATCGTAAAGCAATTACTGATTATTTAAAAGCCATGAAACCAGTTAATAGTTTTGAAATAATTCTATTCTCCATAAAACATAATTGTATCATTTCATCTCATTAATTTTTTTGAACTTCAGTTAATTTCAGAAACTATTACAAAACGTTGGCCTACTGTAAGCTTTCCTAATCAAGTTAGATTAGTCTTTACAGTTCCAGCCGAGTGGTAAGGATTTAAACAGAGTCATGATAGTCATAATAATGATATTGATCTTGTATGAAATTACTAAATCTTTAGGGGTCCAGGGACGATTGGAATTTTACAAGAGTGTATATATGCCGCTGGTTATTTAGAATACGAACATTCAAATAATAATTTAGAATTTATTACAGAACGTAAGGAATCGTTGCATCTTAATCTTATATTCAAAAATAATTGACTTTAGTGTTGGTCACCTAAACTATTTCGAAGAAGCGAAAGTCAAAAGACAAAAGTCAAAACTGGTTTCGATTTTCAACAGTTGGAAAACTAACACTAGTTGACTTATTTATATATATAAAAAATAGCTGAAGCGGCTGCATTGTATTGCATGGATAAATTGAAAGAACATTTGTTGAAAGAAGGATGTAAATATATTTAAAGAAAATTTGATATCAGACGTTTTCAACGACTTTAACGATGATTTGCTTTTATTATAATAATTAGCTACATTTATGATAGTGGATTGTGGAGGTGGCACAGTTGATTTAACAACTCGAAAATTAGCAACCAGTGATACTTTATCAGAAGTTAGTGAACGAACAGGAGATTTCTGCGGATCAACTTATGTTGATGATGAATTTATTACTTTCTTAAAAAATGAACTAGGATCTAAAGCAATGAGTGATTTTAAAGAAAATCATTATGATGAGTATCAATATTTAATTCATCATTTCTTTTGTCCAGAAATAAAGTTTGGGTTTGATGGTGATAGTTTTGATGCAACAGACTTGGACATTGGAAGATTCTGTCCAGCGCTTAAGGATTATATAACCAAAGATATTAGTGATAAATTGAGAAAAGGTGAAATGTTAATTAATAAGAACATGTAAACTATTATGAGTTTCATTAATAAGTTAACAAATAATTATATTTTTTATAACAGAGGACTGGTTACTAGAGATTACTTATGAAGATGTTCTTGCAATGTTTGATCCAGTAGTAAACCGAATTATTTGTTTAATCCGTAATCAATTAACAGCTTCAAAAGAAAAATGTTCTGCTTTATTTTTGGCTGGAGGTTTTTCAGAATCTCCATATCTTATCTCAAAAATAAAGAATGCATTTGGTTCTACAGGTATTTTGCAGAAATAATCGAGACTACATTTGTTTGTATTTGGTTATTAATAATTGATTATATTAATATGTAATTTTTTTTAAGTATCAATTATTTCCGTGCCTCAAAATCCAATATCTGCTGTTGTACGTGGAGGTGAATATAATTTATTTATTTTTAAAATATTCAGCATTCAGGTTCTATAATGAACTAACTAACACACAATTTAAACAGGGGTTATCTATGGTTTAAACACAAAGGCTATTGCAACACGTCAATTGACATTGAATTATGGTATGCTTGTTTATTTTTTAAAATTCATT